GGCCGGATCTGTCCCACCTAACACTTTGATCCAGCCTGCAGACTTCATGTGACTGCTTTCTGTTTATATCTTGCTGCCTGTGCCACTGAATTTCCAGGCAGTGGCTCAGGGAACAGGATCGTCTTTAAATGGCTCACGGCTCTCACTCGCGGCGCTACCCCTGCAGGGGCTGGAGCCGTGAGCCTCTTCAATAACTGCAGCAACCCTGAGCGGCTACCAGGCAATGTGATAGTGGTGGGGCCATGAGCCCCTTTTTGTGTTTTTACTTCAAAGCCTTTGGCCCCAGACAACCCTGCGGGAGGCTAGTCCCCAACCCCACTCCTTCCTCCCCAGGCCCTGCCACTTCTGCGGGGGTGGAGGTGGAGCTGGTCCATAACCATGTAACAATATTTAATAAGTGCCCCCCCCCAAGAAAATTATTGCCCACCCCTGCAGTAAGCGCTACAACCTCTCATAGAGGTGGAGTTATTCTGTCAGTGTAGTATGGTATTTACATTGTTAGGACAATGCTGTAGTATGTACATTGACATAATAAGGTCAACATACGCTGCCTTATATTGACTCAACTGTGTAGTATATAGACCATGATAAGACTTATAATTTTTTTCTGTTTTTAGCAACTTAAATTTTCACAATTCCACAAAAGTATGGGTTTTATGCATATTTTTATTCTTTCCTATTTAAAATTTCACAGTTGCCAGAAAGTATAGGGGAGGAGTCAGACAATAATTATTTAATGATAGCAGATAATGAGATTCAAAGATTGACACTTTATAATCAGTAAAACACAAAATTTCAACATCACATGTAAAAAATACAAAATATCTTTTAATCAAAAGCTAATACATTTATTACATTGTTTATCTGTAAAGTTTGGTTATTGATGGAAATATAGTGAAATCAACTCTTACTAGCCTTTATTAATAAAAATCTAATTCTTTCAAATCTACTCATACTATAAACTTTTCCATATGAAAAAATGTAGGATGCTTTTTGATCGATCTGCCTGTGGCTGAATCAATACAAAAATAACATGGGGCATAGAGATAAGTTTTGTCTGGAGAAGAGGCAGACATGTTTCTGAGATCCAAGCATAAGCTAGCAAATTGCAGTCCATCTTTATCTGAAAATGAGAGTAGGCACATTAGAATAGGTGAATTTATAATATCACATGATAAATATTTTATTTTTTTGAAGTGATCAGTTTTTTTAGTATAATTTGGCTAGATTTGCTTCTAAAGTATTTATGGAAAGATGCAAGCTTTTCTTCACAGTGTGTGATTTTAATCATGTTGTGTAGTCTGTTGTATAACCCAATGCCGTGTAGTCGGTTGTATAGCCCAATTTGGTTTGGAAATGTCTTGTGTGGATCATAGCCTCTAAACTGCTGTAGACATTAATGAGGATTATATCAAGTGTGGTCCATATAAAGCCGGCATGTTTACTGCCGTATTCAAGCTCTATTTTTAGAGAAAAGTATTGCTTCAAAAATCCATGTTCATCTATGGTGTACTAAATTGTGCTATATTAAAACTGTGTTAAAATTAGAAACTATCACCTTGAATTCTTAGGTTCGTATGTGTTAAAGCTCTGGACTTTAAGAACTAAAGTAGTATTTTGTTGCAACCTTCCAGACAATGTAATGTTTGTATTTAACCTATCTGTTGGCCTTAAACATGACATAATTATTAATTGAATTCTAAATGCGTAGTCCAAAAGGTTCTCCTGAAGTGTTCTCCTGTCCTGGCTGTTTTTGCTCCTGGTCATCCTAATGGACAATGACATATAGTAGGAAAATTAAATGTCTGAGAACACATTGTATAGGATTGTTATGGAAAGAATGAAGTGTTTATGTAAGTGAAAATGAGAGAAAATATAAACCTAGCTCAAGTCACAATGAGGATCTGAATTATTTTTACAGAGGGTAAAACAACATATATAACTTATATGCCCTATAAGTTTGGTTTTGACTGTAGACATGATTACGATGAAAACATAACTTTTAATTAACAGACCCCAAAGGTTATATCGATTGTTTTATTTTAACTTGTAAAGGCAAACAAAGCTGAAATCAAATATTCTTCAAAGCGTGTAGTCTGTGGGTTAAAGAAAACATTAGCCTTTCACATGTTGTCCAAACCTAAACATATGCAGATTAACCTAGGAAAGTATACGATGGGCAAGGAAGAATAACATTCTGTATTCTTTTGCTGAAAAGCTAGCTGTTGCTTTGGCAAGATTGTTGTGTCTACATGCATAGGCTAATGCTTTAATTTACAAAGGCCAGTGGTGTAGATAATCAAATCAGTGATGTTCCAGGGTGAAAACAACTTTTTCTTATTGTCTGCTAATGTTTTGAGAGATTTGTCAGATTCAGTTTATAGCACATGGTCCAAGCATACCTGGAACTGTCTTGATTAGAAAACAATTTTCCCTTGAGACTTAGGTGACTAACCCAAAAGGCATTTTTGAAAATGAGACATAGGTTCCTAAGTATCTTCAGCCCTCCTCACTCTTTTCCTCTTTGCTCAATCACTTGAGGGTAAATGCTCTTTGGAAACATGAATTTCAAGACTACTTACTCAGTTGTTAATGAATTCTTCTGGAAGTTTCCTCACTCCAAGTTACTTTAGGGTAAAATCTACCTTTCATCAACAATATACAGGCAGTCCCCGGGTTACATGGATCCGACTTACATCAGATCCCTACTTACAAACGGGGTGAGGCAACACCGCACTAGCTGCTTCCCCCCAGCAGACCAGGGAGACGCAAAGCTAGCGCCCCCCTCCAGCAGACCAGGGAGACGCGGAGCGGCTTTTCTCAGCAGACACCTCAGCTTGAGAATAAAAGACTGAGGGAAGTGAGGTGTGGGAGAATAAAACTGAGCTCTGGAGAAATGTTTGGCTAGAGTTTCCCCTACAATATGTACCAGTTCCGACTTACATACAAATTCAACTTAAGAACAAACCTACAGTCCCTATCTTGTACGTAACCCGGGGACTGCCTGTATGTAGAATAAGACTAAACTTTAAGTACTGTATGTCTTGATAAATTGTTGCAACTGATTTTTAACCACCATGGAAAAGTGCTGGTTTTCTTTGTTTTATTTTAACGACATTCCATGAACTTTCTTTTTCCATCCCTCTATATATACAACATTTGATCATTTAGGTGAATAAATACCCAGTCTGTTTACTTTAAGCTCACATGCAGAAATAGGGGGCCTCACATAAGCATGGAAGTTTTGACACTTGTACCTGTTTGATTATAGTCTTGGAAATAAATATCATTACAACATCCCTATCATCTACAGAAGATGCATTTACATATGGATAAAATTCAATTGTGGTAAACCAAGATAAGTGATCTATTTCCAATAATAACCTATATTATTCCGGGCAAATATTTTTTTTCTCTTTGCATCTATTAGACCTTTCTTAATATGAGGTCAGGTCTACACTAGGGGGCAATGTTGAACTAAGGTATAGAACTCCAGGTACATGAATAACATCATTGTAGTCAATGTACCTTAGTTTGACTTACCATGGTGTCCGCACTATTTCTCCAATTGGCTCTCCTTACTCTTCTCCAGTGGCATTCTGGAGTCAATGGGCGCATGATCAGCAGTCAGTTAGTGGGCCATATCTGCTAAATCGATTTCTGAGAGATTGATCCCCACAGTGGTAAATGATAGTGTTTGTGCAGTAAAATTCTGCTCTGAACTACCTGGTTTAAAATGCCATTGCATGCCTCACTTCGGATACTGCAGTCATGATCACTGTTTATTCTATTCATAGTGTTTTTACTCACTTTACTCACTTTCAGCATTACAGTTTTTCTTTCCCCTGCTGTGTAGTAACCTCATTCTGGAAGAAACACGGTATGCAGGTTTGTAATTAGTGTATAATTTCACATGGAAAGACATCACAGTTCATGCAATCTGCTGAGTGTCATTATAATGAGGTTTTATCATACTGTGCATTGATATAATAGTCAATAATATGGCTTTTAGCCCTTACAGGCTTTGACTTATATTTAAAAAAAATGTCTAGTGAATTTTTGATGCCTCAGTTTTTAGGTGCCCAATCTGAAACCCCTTGAGTGGTCCTGATATGCAAAAAACTCTGAGTACAAGGCTTCAGAAAATCCGGCCTCTTTAAGGTGGATTTCCCAAATTTAGTAAATTAAAATGTAGGTCCTGTTTTTCAGCTTTTACCTCCGAACTCTCGCCCTCGTGACAAGAATCCTTCCTCCTTTCTGGTTGCTGCTCCTTTCTTCATTCGTTAAAGGATAGCTTCTTTCTCACCTCTTCAGCAGTCAGATGAGATGAGAAATGGTGGTCTTGTACTTAAAGTAGTGGCAGGAGAAGTGAGTTCAATTCCTTCTCTGACACAGGTTTTCTATGTGAATTTAGGCAAGTCATTTAAGCTCTCTGCTCCTCAGCTTCCCATGTGAGGATAAATTAGTTAAATGTTTTTGATATTGTGAAACAATATGAACACTACAGAAAAAAATAAGTTGCCCGCCACTCTGGCAAGCAGTGAAATGCATTCCATTCTCCCCCAAAGACACAAAGAAGCTTCCTAATTCTACATGATTCCATTATTACTTTACCAATTTGACCCATCTCCCTAAACTGATTCCAGACCAAAGGGAGCATTCAAGAACTGGTAGCTTGTGGGTATGGGTCACATTAGGAAAATAGGTTATGGCAATAGAATGCCCCCTAATGGATTGACAAAAAATCCTGGAAATTCTTTAGTCCATTTTATAGGTTAAAACAAAATATGCCAGTATCCTACGGGTGAAAGAAAACATCGGTTTTGGCTGCAGAAAGGCCCAAGCCTACAATGTTTGGATCCAGATGCAAACTGACCCTAAGTTTGACATACTCAGATCTCATTTTTTTCCATTGTAGAGCACCTGAGATGGTGTATTCTGGAGAGTCAGCATCATGATCAGTTCTGTTAAACTAAGTTTAATTTATTGCTTTGTTCCAGGTGGGTAAACTGAGAGAGAGAATCCAGGAAGTCAAGCAAGAAAGAGAGCAGGAGCAGCACAAGCATACTGCCTACATCTCTGAACTAAAGGCTAAACTCCATGAGGAGAAAATGAAGGAACTCCAGGCTGTCCGGGAGCTGCTTATCCGGCAGCACGAGCAAGAAGTAGCTCGTATGGTAAAAATAAAAGATGGAGAAATTCAGCGTTTACAGTCGACGGTGAACGTGCTGCGGGACGGGGCAGCTGACAAAGTGAAAAATGCATTGCTAAATGAAGCCAGAGAAGAAGCTCGAAAAGCATTTGATTGCGAACGTATAAAGATGCAGCAAGAGATATTAGAACTGAAATCTGGTAAAAAGCAGCTTGAAGAAGCTTTGAACAACATTATGCAGGCAGATAAAATGAAGGCTGCTGACCTGCGCTCTGCTTATCAGTCCCATCAAGATGAGGTTAATCGAATAAAGCGTGAGTGCGAGAGGGATATCCGCAGGCTGGTAAGCTTAATTAAACAGTAAATATATTTTGGTTTACTGTAGTTCCTGCAGCACAGAGGAGTGTTGGTCCCACCCCAACCTATTAACTACACCTTAGGCCACAGCATTACATCCTATCACATTAAAGGAATGAAAGTACCAACTCCTAGTGAGTTTTTGCTTACAAATTCATTGTTACTCAGTAGCTTTCTCTTCCTTTTTGCCTGAAATTCCTTTCCTTATGAGGCCTTCTCTGCTGAAGGATTCAAGACATAGTTACTCTGCAGAGTGAATATTCACTTGCTGTGATGGAAACGCAAGCTGTTTCAGATGTACTATATTTGCTACAGCCATGTGTGTTTCCTATGGCAGAGCAAAGAGAAGAGTCTAATCTGCTTCCAAAAGTATTGCCTGTATCCCTGACTCTTTGGAAGTAACAAGGATTGTTGCCCCTTGTTCTGTACTCCTTTAAAGAGCAGAGGTGTTAGCGTGGGGTCAGGTGCATAGAGCATTTCACCTGTCATAAAGTTCACCATAGACAGCAGCCTTCCTCTTATGAATAGGAGTAGTAAAATAGTGATTCCAACAGCACTGATGCAAATCATTACATTTTACACTAGTTATACTGTAGTGTTTGGGCAAATTACTGCACAATAATAGATTCACAGTAATATATAATGAAAAGAAAACATTCTATTTGGCATCATGGTTTTTTCCATGTATGGAGTCTTGAGATTTGGTTACTAAAATAAACTTTTAATAGTATGGTAATTGGATTGAAAATACCATAAAGATAAACTACAATAGAGGAATAGTCTTTCCCTTAATGTTAAGGAAATTCTTTATTTCATTTTGTGTCAAGACTAGAATGTGGATACTGCTTTGGATAAATGATGGCAATGACAAGCTACAGGCAAGGAATGTTTTATATCCTTAATTATAGTCTAAGGCAATGAAAACTTATAATGCAGTTACTTTGTCCCTTAAGTAAATTGGTTATCAATAGGCTATTGAGCACTACAATTTCCTAAGAATACTGTAAAGGTTTTTTTTACTCTCATTACTGATCATAATTTCTTTTTCATACTCCATCCCTTCTTCTTACAAATCTCAAAAATAGGACTACAAAGTATGTGAGTTGAAGTCCAGATTATTCTAAATGATCACATAGCATATAGCATGGAATTCTGAGTACTCAGTGTCTTCATAAGAACACAAGGTTCCTGTTGATTTCTGTGTCCTTACTTGGGAAAAAAGCAGAAGAATAGTGTTAGGGAAGGGAGGACACAGCACATACTGTACATGTACATTCCCTCAGAATAAAGCAGACTCAGTTTTACATCTAAGATCCTTGGCAGTGTCCCTTTTGACCATTTGAAAAACAAGTTTTAAATAGGTAGAATGTAAAAGAACAGAAGCAGCGCCAGTGATGATTTGACAATGATTATAGAAATGACAAGCTTCAACATTGCTCAGATGTGTTAATTGTAACATGGCCAAAGTAAGCCCCACTCACAACTGATCAAGCCTTTTTGCCTGGTCTCGGTGAAAACCATAAGATATGCTTCCAGCCCCTTGGTAGTAAAGGTTCTGCAAACAGAATGCCTAATCTATCTTGTTGAGGTTGCCAGCAATAAAAACATTTTGTTATTGAATTACAGTTAGGCCAGTATTTTTACTAGCATAATATCAGTTGGATAAGGTCTGTTGAAATATGCAAGCAAGTCAAAACAGTGGCCTTTCTGAAGTCCTTGGCAGAGTTTTGACAAGATGTGAAATTGGTTAATTATTCGGAATTGTTCCATAGTCTTGCTTCAGTTTTTAGTTTAAATAGCAGCTTGTGGTTGGTGATGAAATATTTTTTCCTTTTATTGTAATAATTCCTTCTAACTTTGGAAACATTGCAAATGCTTTTCCCTCCTTTCACTTGGCAGAAAAGAATGTGTACCTGTCTTTTCAATGAAGGCCATCAGTCTGCTATGGGTGTGTGTGTGTGTGGGGGGGGGGAGGTATTTATTTCCCTTCTTCTGCACAACTGTTGCAGCGCAAGTCTGAAAATAAGATTCAGTTTGTGCAGTCTGCTTTCAAGGCTCACCCTCTGCCTTATAACCAAGACTGGCCTGAAAGTAAAAGATCAAACTCTGGATTTAAAATCTGACCTCCTTATAGCCACTTAAATGTAAATTTCAGAAGGTCTGAACAAATACGTGCTTTATCTTGATGAGGGTTTTCTCATATATGGTAAAAAGCTAGGCTCTCCCTAGTTACTGCTGAGCCTCACTTCCAATTTTCAGACTGATTTTTGACACCCTCAAATAATTTCATTCCAAGCATTTGGCCTCCCTTGCTTGCAACCTGGAAAACTAATATGAAATAAAAGATATTATTCACCCTCTCTCTGTTGATTGTGTTGGCTGTTATCTGAAAACAGATTATAAATACAATAAAATAAAGTTGTATTCATTTTTATTGAAGCTGTGGACCTTACAAGATATTGGAAATGAGCTTCAAAAATTGGATAATGAGCTTTCATAGATGTACAGATATTATGAAAATGTAAATTCTTTACATAAGCCATGTTTCTGTAGACTTCTGCTGATTTTTTTAAAAAGAAAAAAAATGCAATCATAAAATAACATTTAAAATAAATTCTGTGTAAAAGCTTTGTTCATATGTCAGTTTTCATATAATTGATTTTAGATAGAAGCAACAGAAATGTTTTAATAATGTTTAACATTCCTGTGGCATCTAAATGCAGCAGTTCATCCTAGCTATTGTATGAGAACTTGAAAATGAATTTTACCACAAACTGAAGAGATGAAACTGGAAAGGTTATTCATTGTTCTTGTACAGAGAAATACAAGGAGATAGCATTTAAAGTAATAAGAAAAGTAGCTGCAGTGTATTATTTATGACAATTTTAAAATGGTATTCTAAAATTTTAACCTAATAGTATCTCCCTGATGTACATAACTTAATTTATCTCAGTACTTATATTTCCCAAATCACTGTAGTACATGAGCAACATCAAAATGTTTACAATTAGAAATAATATTTAGCAGTCAAACAGCCTTAGTAAAATGAAAAAATACAAGCTTCCTCCTCTGGAACTGTAGACTATGGCTCAGGTTTTCAGCCAGATGTGTGCATTTTTCTGTATATGTAGTTTGTGTGAAAATTCTGTGAATTGTAGTTGTAAATCAAGGTTGTGGAGCATGCATACACCAACATGCATAATCCCCGAGTACAGTAAAACTCCAGTAGTCCGGCATCCAATAGTCCGGCACTCCTGATAGTCCGGCATCAAAATGGCAAGAGCCTAGTGAGTGAGCTTCAGCAAAAAATGAGTCACAAGGTAACAGCGGCAGCAGCTGAACTGAGCAAAAAGGGTAAAAAAGGCTTAAAAAAACTAAAATATTACAGTATACTGTATACAGTATGTACAATAAAAAGGGTTAACACTTTATATACAGTATATAATGTATACAAAATATATATAACCAGTTTATAGTACCTCCTGATAGTCTGGCATATCTGATAATCCGGCACTGCCTAGGTCCCATAGGTTCCGGATTATTGGAAGTCTACTGTAAAAGCAAGAGTACTTTTGTCCATACTTCTGAAAATTAAAAGATGCCCTTTGCCAGTGTCGACCTTCGCATATTAACATGATTTTGGGAGGGACATGATGTACTGATGCACTAGAAATACTAGGAAAAATGTAAAAAACAACCAATAGTCTAGTAGCACGTTAAAGACCAACAAAACGTAGATGGTATCATGAGCTTTTGTGGGCACAACCCACTTTTAGGCAAGGTATTAATGCAAATGTCCGGTGTCAGACTTTGGAACCTCAGGTATGAGTTCCCAGACAGCTGTGCATGGTCAGGAAAAGGCGACATAAAATACAGTGTTTGATTAATCTTTAGTTGGGACATCAGGGATGACAGAATGGGAAAAGTCTTAGTACCAGCAAGCCCACTTGTAATGCTCTCCACATAGTTTTCTTCCCTTTTACTTTTAAAGGTTTCCACAAGATTGTGAGTATGATGCCCTCTAGGGCATCTGGCATTGGCCACTATCAGCAGACAGGATACTGGGCTAGATGGACCTTTGGTCTGACCCGGTATGGCCGTTTTTATGTTATGTTCATAGTGTAAGTGTTTTGTTATATTTTTCTCTGAGTTCTATTTTACTTGTATGTATTTAAGTGCTAAATAAAATCCTCATGTTTCTATGCAGCTCACCAGTCTCATCTCTATAATAAATGTATGTAGCTGCCTGAGTAACAAATATGTTGTCAGTGACTTGTGCAGTTTGCACTCTACATTAATTAAAGGTTACACCAGAGAAAAGTCCACCAACCTGTTAAGGAGAATATAATATTGATTTAGTCTCCAGATTGAGCTCTGCTTTAATACCCATATTTCTAAGTATTTTTTCCTGTTTCCATAAGTGCACTCACCTATAACTTGGACTGGTACTCAGTTTAATGCTCAGTTTAACACTGAAAACAAAATATTCTGTTTACTGAACTGCTTACAGAGCAGATCTTACTAAAATTATTTTAATGTTTTAATGTTATTTCAGTTATTAGTTTTTAAAACCTATATCTTTTTTTCTCTTACCTGAGTGTCAATTCATTCTTAAATTTGATGGCCATGCTCAATTTTAAAATTAGGTGCCACAATATTTAGTATTTAGATACACAGTATTTAGATACACATTTTGTCTGAAATTGTTCTAATCCACTGCAGCCTAGACACGTGCTGAGTTTTGAAGCACAATCCAAACTATTATTGTTGACTGCATAAAAGCGAAAGAAGATGAGATTTCCATTACTGTACTGAATTAGTTGGAAAGAACAAATAAAATTTCGTTCATTCTGTGGCAGCTACCAGCAAGACCCTTATTAGACAGAATAAACTCCTCTGTGGTTCATGTGCTAAAATATACAGTAACTGCTTCCTGTGAAAATATTACAAAGAATAGCCATTTCAAATGCATTTAGTTGATTTTGT